AAAAAATTGGCTTAAGGAAAAAGGGAAATTGAAAAGTGGTTAAATGAAAATTAGATTAATGAAAAATGGGTAAATGGATAAAGGGACGAATGACAAATAGATAAATGAAAAAGAGAAATTGGGAAATTGATAATATGAAAAATAAATAAATAAAAAATTGGTTTAATGAAAAAGCTAAATTATTTATTTAACACATTTTTTTATTTATTTCACTCATTTTCTTCATTTTTGATTTATTTTACTAATTTTTTATTTATTTCACCCATTTATTTATTTATTTAATTTTGGCTGAAATGGGTCTCCATACTATATCAGACAAGAAGAGCAAACCTCTCCCTTCTTATCCTGACCATTCACAGGGGGACAATAGTGGGCATTCTAACCAGCTGTATCTTTGTCTAGTTTCCTGACTTCAGGGCCTCATAATGGAAATGTGTAGTTTGTGGTGGTGTGTATATGTGAAGGTGTTTGTGTGTGTGTTTAGCAAGCTAGGTTTGATAGATTCCAAAATTGATTAATCAGTTAAAGAATATACAGCTTTGGATGACTTAGTTGATATGCCATGTTGAATCACTGTCGATTCCGTTACCACACAGAAGCAGCGATTTTAATTTTTTTGTTTATTTTGAGGATAGGAGGACAAGATTGTATATAATTGTGCACGCCAGTGTCTGTCTGTCTTTATTCATGGAAACAAAGTGTTTACATATTGTTTCATGGAATAAGTACATAATTTAATTGCATTATAGCAAACATGTTTGTATTACTCTTACGTAAATTTAGCAGCAGTGGTGAAACAAGATTTCGGCATGTTCAAACCAGGCAACTTGGCTTAGCTAGAAATCGTACATCAGATACAGACTTGAAAATCAGTCCTTTGAAGAAGCAAATATTTATTTATTTTTAAATGAAAGACATATGGAACCATGAGATGCAATATTATAAGAAAGGTAACCTATTTAAATCCCAAGACATATCTGACTAACTCGAGAAATTCTCATGAATTAACTGTGCTCTTCCCGTTTGGAGGATAAAAAACATAAAAATAAACTCTAGGTAAATTGTAAAATTAATCTGGTGCACCTACTGCAACTCTGAAGAACTGTCCAAAAATGGGGTCAAAATGTCTGTGAGTCTTGACTGAAGAGTCTTCATCATGAGCCTAGATAATTGTCAAGACAGAATTAAGTTTTGTAAGTTTTCTTTTGGTTAAAGCAGTAACCCTGTGTTGTGTTGACTGGTCTTCAGCTGCTAATGAGGGGAGCTGTGTGTTTGCAGCAGTCTTGTGGGAAGTTGACTCTGAAGTGGAGGAGGTGAAGACAGCCCTGTTTGCATCAACGTAGCTGCAAATCATAGTTTAGACTTATTTTTGATATCTGACTGCACTCACTTAACGTAGGCCTACGTAATCCTACAATAACATTATATTTACAGTTGATTTATTAAAAATGCTTTTCAGTAAAAGTCAACAGCAATAACTCCAATAACAAACGAAAATGTATTTATTAAAAATGCTTAACAATTCCTGTAATGAATAAATAGCACAATGAAAGAAATAATGTCTCATCATCGGGATTTGCTCCGTGATCAGAGGAAATGTTACTTGGCCCCGAACAGTGGTGAAAATTGGAAGTTCAGTTTAATATAATACAACTCTGTGAATAGTTCCGTCTGAAATGAATGAAAATAGTTGTTTTAATGGTTATAGAGTCAGATATGTGGCGGAAATGTTTGATTTATCTTAAGGTTTTAATCTGTTACTGTGTAAATGGGTTTGGCTGTAATTTAAGGACATATTCTAATATATCTGCAGAGTGGGAACTATAAATCTGATAGGAGTTAAATTTTTTATTGCTGTTTTGCACAATATGCTTAACTAAGTATTTTTTGATTTTGAATATTAGAGATTTTGCAGATATATTTTGCACATAAATTGTTTAGATTTACTTATATATTTCTAACCCTTTTATAGAATAGAAAATCCCTTTATTGTCCCACAATGGGCAAATTTACAGCAGCAGAAAGATTATTAAAAGTTGTCACACAAATGAGGACCTTAGAAAAATGTCTAAGAATAACATAATAGGGAAGAGTTAAAATATAAACAATACAATCCTGTAAAGTGTTTTAACAATATAAAACTGGAGAATTAATAACCAATATGCAGCTATGGACATTTTTACAGTAATTTGAAAATAGCAGCAACATCAGAGATGTGCAGAATGACAGCAGCATGTTATTTAACTGATTAAGGTTTCTATCATTACATTTGATTTGATTGGTTCCTGCTCCCGGTGGTTGGAATCTTTATTCCACTCTGGATTCTTGTGAGTGTAGTCTTTGTTCACTTTAACTTTAAAAAAAATAAATAAATAAACAAACAGTTTTGAAAACCTCTGTATTCATTCTTTTCCTGCTTTGTGTGTCAACTTTCACGGTTGCTAAGCAACAGAGCATACGGCGGTAAAACCCGCACATTGTGAGGACATTTAGAAAGTGAGGACATTTCCTCACTTTCTAAAAAAAACCCAGGACGCCCGGGACAGGACGTGAAATATGGATATGTCCCGGGAAATACGGACGTTTGGTCACCCTAGTGAAAGGTCCTGGTTAGAGCATCAAGAAGCATGGTGGCAGAAGCAGTGCATTCATTTTTATGGGACTAGTGCATATCAGGCCATCACACAATTCTAAAATGTATTTTTTCCCTTTCCCTCTGATCGAGACTTCATAATCATGCCTGAAACCAGTTTGGCACAACAAAGTTATTTTAGCACTTGGTCAATTTCTGGCTGCTGCTTTGGCTTTAACCGAACGCTTATCTCTCTGATCCTAGTAAAAAGCATACAAAAACTCTTGCCCCTTGTTAATGCGTTCCCACCAAAGTAGCTATCCAATGTTAGAAATATACCTCAAATTTAGACTATGCATAGTGGCATCCATAGTGGTAAGGTTTTTTTCTTTGCAGAGAGCTCTGTTACCTGTCTCACCTTATGATGTTGATGAGATCAAGAAACTATTTGCAAAGTTTCATCTTTCACTGAATGGATATTGATGGTGGCCCCATAGAAACTTGTGACCTACAATGCTGAATTCAGGATATTTTTATTTCAGGGTCATAGAAATATTTTATTGCAGTAGTGTGGTTTATTTGAAATATTTCTACAGGATTATTTAGAGACCATTCATGTTTACATTTGGCATTGTCTTTATCAGTCCCCACCCCTCACAGCCAATTAATACCTTAGAATCAGGACTCAAAAGAGAAATTGTTATGTTTTTGACACTTCAATCTCTGTATAATCTCATCTTGATTATATATATATATTATATAGAACAGCAGAGTATGTGTACCTCTACAGTTGAATTGGATTAAGGTTGGACCTGGGGCTTTGGTAAAGAAAAGAAAAAAAAGAAAATATCTATGATAGATGTCCTGCCTGGCATTCTGTAATTAAAATCTGAACTATTAACTGCTATGCTTTTACCATCATAATAATTATTTTAATGATGTTGTGAACCCTTTGCGGATAGATGTGTTTTTGTGAATTGCTTTTCGAATACCTCTCTTTATCATGTTGTCTTACCTGTTTTTGTTTTTGTTTTTTTTACATATCAGTACATTTTGCCCCTAAACCATGGACTGTCAGTCTTCTATGTGTTTATTTAAAGCCAAATATCAGAACATGGTATTTACTGAAAAAGGCTCAAGATCCAGATGTTGTCCTCCACAGTATGCTTTAGGCCTGTGTAGAGCAGCTATGTGGTTGAAGAACAGCTTAACAGCAGTTCTACGACCTTTGTGTGATACAGGAGACAGTTCCTGGAGTGGAAGACCTCCTGCCTTCTTCAAGTATCAAAGTGAATTCAGCCATCAGTCCTCAATGACTATGGTCCTGTTGCCCTGGCATCCCACTTTGTGAAGGTCCTACACAGATTCTGGTTGCACTCCTATTAGAAACTATTAGGACCCCCTGCAGTTTGCTTATCACCATGAAGTTAAAGATGCCATCACAGACCTTTCAACAATCCCCCAGTCATTAAGACAAGGCAAATGGCACTTTGAGACTTGTGTTCTAACTTTTGAAGATTCAGGTAGAGCTGCCAATTCAATAGTGGTCAATTAGCCCTCTGAGTGAGACCTATGTCTTCCACACTTTGCAATCCCCTTCTTTAGTTTTTTGCAAAACAAACTGCAACCATTAAGTATACTGTATAAAATAGGTAGCTCTTTCTCCTTTCTTGTTTGTTACTTTTGTAAACATGACATGCACAATCTTTGCTATAGGCTTTAATTTGTGGTGTTACTGTATGTATAATGTAGATTTTACAAGATTTTGCCTTATTTGCTGTAGCGTTTGTACAGAAGAATAATGGCTCTAAGTGTCCACATGATATATTGGTTCTGACAGTTGCCCATATGGTTGAAGCATAACGAGTTTTGTTATTCAGGAGATGAATGAGGTCAGAAACATCCAGTGTCTCTGACCTCTTCACAAGCCTGACCTTTCTTGTCTCAATCCGGCATCTCACTTGCATGTCAGTGGAAATTTGATTAAAAGGAATGCTTCCTTCAGTCACTGTTCTGGTTGACTTTTATATAAAAAAATAAAATGCAAGGAGAAATGGTTTGTAAGAGATCCTGTATGTTAGTGTAAGCAGTGACTCCATGCACTGATGATGTGCGTTTTTTTTACAATGCACTTTTTTTTTTGATGATTTACTGTAGATCCAGCATGAATGCTTTGATTAAACCCTGCACCTTAGGGATGGTTATCTATGTTTAAAGCAAGGTGTAATTTGCAATAAATGCATATATGCATACATATTTTCTAACATGTCAAACAGAAATGTAAAATTTCCATATTCATGATGGAGATTAGAACATTGATGTTAATGCAATCTTATAAAACGTGTCACTTCATTAAACTTTTAAAGTCTCATGTTTTGATAGTAGAAGTTATTCTGATTATTTTCTAACTGTTATTGTATTTCTGCAGGAACTCTCTGCATTTATGGTTACATGAATGTCAGCGCTGAAGGCCAGATGCCGGTGATGGAAGAGCTTGTCAGTGAGAGGTTGGAACTAATCAGCTTTTATGTTGGATTTTTACTGTCTTTGTGATTGAGCTCCTTCTGAAAATAGTCATGCAGCGTAATTCACCACACACAAAGAAAGTCACATTTCTTCCATAACTTTTACAAAGCATTGTCATATTTTCATTGATAGTAAAAATAAAAAAAAAGAATTTTAATGTGTCGCTCTGATGGGTTGAGGGTTGCTGGTTCTAACTCGAGGTCCTTCTGTCTCAATTGATGTGTCTACGGACATACACTTAAGCCGGAATGCATACTGAAGTTGGTCAAAAGGCCCGTTAGCACCTCTGTATGCCAGGCTTGCTTCTTTGATTAAGCAAGCCTAGTGTTCCTCAGAGCAGCTAATGATGGAATGAAGCCTCAGTCACTGATGTGGATGATGGTGGGGGTTGTGTGTGTGCGTGTAGACAAAACCCTAAAATCCCTACAAATATAACATCAATTGAACAAGATCCACTTCAGAACTTAGGAAGCTGCATTGGACCAAAGACAAGGCTTATAGCAGAGGTGACTGGGCCCCTTGTCTCAGCATGTAAGACACAAACTGACCCCCAAAATACAATAAATCAAAGGCAGGCAAAATGTAATGCAGACCAAGGCTTAACAATCTTAGACCAAGACTGGGAAAACTAAAAGTTGAGACTGGTTAGTCTCAAAACATCCACCTTTGATCAGAAGACCAAGCAACCCTTATATTTCCCACCTCTGCCTGTAGGCCTACTCTGACTTACCTATTCTCATCTTCCCTTCTGCTTAAATTATTCTGCCATTATCCTGGTACCCAGGAAACACAGCATTAGAGAGTAAAGTGACTTCAGACCTGTCACCCTGTGTCCTTAGGTTACTTCACATCAGAGACCACAAAAATAACATGTGGCATTTCCTAGAGGTCCATCTGAGGGCCCCAACTATTCAGTATTCCCCTTACTGTAACTGAGATGTTAATACACAATGATATCCTGTAGAGTGGTAGCCATTTAAAATGTCCCCACTTTCCTTGATGGGCCCTTAGCTGGTCCTTACCTGGTCCCATACAATTCCTTTTTAAACTTTAATATTTGAACTTAAAAATTATTTCTGTCATGATTTGTGGACATTAAAATCTAAAGAGAAGCACCTTCTCCTGGTCAGACCCTGTAATTCGGTGAAAGGGTGGAGTCTAGGGCTGCAACTAACGATTATTTTAAAAATCGATGAATCGGCCGATTATTTTTTCGATTAATCGATGAATCGGACAAAAAATTTTTTTTATATTAACCTCTTTATTCCAAAATAAACATTTTAGACAGAACAAACAAGCACACAAGTACAGGTTGCTCATTAACTGTACTGGTGCAATATGAAAAAATAAATGTTTGGGTAAAAACTACGCAAACTTACATGAGAAATGTAGCTGTACATCCACAAAATATAGGCTACTTTGTTTCATAAAGCGCAAAAAGAGACAGGCATTTTTGTTTTTTAAAGCCCCTAAGGGGTTCAAACAATAGGTCCCCCCATTTCAACAAATGAGTTTTTTTAGACTAGAAGAGTTCTGCCTTTTAAGACAGGAAAGTATAGCAGTTAAAGTTGCTACTTGAGAAAATACTGAACCATAGAGATAAAAATAGCCCTGTGATTCTAATTATAAATTGTATTTGGAATAAAAATGAGAGAACTAGGGGTGGTAAAAAAACACATCCTCCAAAGACAGATATTTAGACTTAGACTTAGACTTAGACTTCTTTATTTGTCATTTTGTATGCACAGGGTGCATACAGAACTAAATTGCGTTACATACAGCTTATGAACGTTGCATTGATATTTCAAATATCAATGCAACGTTCATAAGCTGTATGTAACTTATGAACGTTGCATTGATATTTACATGGGAATGTGGCAGATAATTAATTGACATATTACTGATCTTGCTGGATTTTGTTCTGCTTTACTTCCATAAATTGCAGGATCTTCTTTTCTTTATCTTTGCCAGAAGATTTAAACTTTAAAAGCCTTGCCCTCATAATTTGCAAGTTAATTTATTTATAAAGAAAATATAAACGCTGCTTAAACAAATTTAAATGAAATTAAAAGTAAAATAAGTAGCCAACCTTATCACTGTCTGTAACCTACTAACAAGGTAAGGAAAGCATCAGATGAGCTACCTGAGAAACTAACGTTACGTTTCCCCTCTTTAAAATGAAACAAACATGGTTACTCATCCTGCTGATCAGCTCTCTTCACTGCCATTGAAGGCTCCAACGTGTTTTCTTTTCAGGTGCTGCGTCATAACAGTGGTGCTTCCGTGCCATGGTCATTTGTTTTTACCAAAGTTACATGTTACGACTTTTTTCACTTTACAAAGCGCAGGCTATTTTAATTATTGTGATCAATTTGCGCCGTCAATCCCGGCGCATGCGCGCTTCATTTGCAGTCTGGACGCTGAGGGTAAACTCCTCACTAAAATCCTGCGGCTCTGACTCTGACTGCCGCGCTGAGAGGGATTCCTGTGGGAGAGGGAGAAAGGGGTTGGGATGGGGGAGGCGCCCCACGGCAGGCAAAAGCCGCCAGTGACACCGTAAAAAGTCGCCAGATTTGTCGCCAGTCGCTTTTTTGAAAAATAGTCGCTGGAGGGGTCTGAAAAGTCGCTGAGTTGGCAACACTGCAACTGCGGCGCTGACTCGCTCCGCCATATTTTTTTTTCTTCCCCCGGATGACGGCGGCGGCGGATGACGCATTAATCGCGCGACACAACTAATCGATGATTAAATTCGTTGCCAACGCTTTTAAAAGTCGATTTTTATCGATTTTATCGATTCGTTGTTGCAGCCCTAGTGGAGTCAGAGTAAAAAAATATGCATGCCCAGGAAAAGATGGTGGTCACTTCAGTGGCTGGAAGTTGGAGGGGATTTTGCTGAGAGATGCAGGAAATTGGGCTGCCCATCGGCTTGTGTTTGACTGGTAAGGGCCATTTTGATTGGCTGCTACTGTAAGTTACCATTATTATGTAGATGACATACAGCTACACATTGCAATGTCAGCAGATGACTATGACTCTATTCAAGTGCTGTGGAAATGCAAAGACAAAATCATTGCATGGTTGTGCAAAAATTTTGATATACAGCCTCTACTTATTAATCGTCAGTTTCCTGACTGACTAGCAGGAGCAAGAGGTGAGGCTGGGAGCATCCTTTCCTGCAACATCCTCCACAAAGTTGTGCTATCTCCCCACTTCAGCCCCCACCTAGCAGACTAGTGTATTTGCAAAAATCAGATGACAATGTCATTGGTCTGATCCAAGAAAATCAAGAATCGACATACAAACAGGAGGTAAAATGGCTTTTTGACGTATGCATTTATTTCCCATGGATGATTGTTGACCATGCTTCTAGTAGTGCGTTGTGAATTGTGAGATCACATGCACATGATTACAGCTCCTAAAAAACAAACCCCCAACATAAACCCCCCTCCACCAAACTTTACACTTGGCACAGTGCAGTCAGACATGTACCATTCTGTTGGCAACTGCCCAACCCAGAACTGCTGTCAGATTTCTAGATTCCAGAGAATGGGTCTCCACTGCTCTGGAGTCCGGTTGCAGTATACTGCTGCATCCGACGCTTTGCATTGCTGCATTGCAGTTGTTGAAGTATGGCTTAGGTGCAGCTGCTCTATAATAGAAACCCATTCCATTAAACTCTCTGCGGACTGTTCTTGAGCTGAATTTGAAGGCCACACAAACTTTGGAGGTGTGTCATCATTGACTCTGCAGAAAGTTGGCCAACACTTCGCACTATGAACTTCGGCATCTGCTCGCCACCTTCCGGCAGTTTACACGGCCTACCACAAGTTTCTCCTGTTCCCTAACACTTAGATTTTCTTATAATACAGCTAAGAGTTCACTGTGGAATATTTAGGAGGGAGGACATTTCACTACTGTTTTTGTTACAAAGGTTTACTTGCATATTGAATGTCAAATTAAATCTAAATAATCATACTATTGTGTTCTTGTAAGGTATAGTTTAAGTCTGTAAAACAGCTTATAGTGAAACATAGGTGACTAGACAGAAACTTTACTAGAGAGACGGTGAACTTCTCACAGATGATGAGCACTTGTTAAGTGTTTGTTGATGGTGAGAGCTGTGTAACACATTCCTCTGCAGCATAGAATTCCCATCTTTGTCATACTAATGTGACCAGCCACTGACCCGTTTCTGTTAGGGTCTGCGTTCATTCTCAGTACAACTGCAAACAGGTCAGATGGGAGCATTTCTAGTTTTCAGCTTTTAAAAAGCAAAAACAAATCTTAAAATTGTTTTATTTGTTTCATTGCTTCCTTTATTCTCAAAAAGATTAAAGAGGATGTATGAAAAGCTTCATGGCTCTTTTTTTTGTTCTCTTTTGCATTTAAACCTAATCCCTCTTTTGTTGTTGTTTTGAAAACATACATTTTGTTATTACTGTATATGAAGCTGCCACCCCACCAAAATCAGATTTACGGTAGCTTTGAATAGTACGTCACTGCAGCACCCAGCTTTCTGTGTCATAAAAGGAACAGATGGACCCATTATTCCAGGCGAGTCAGACATTGGGAAGATTCAAAACGTTTAATGACAGAAAATAGTAAAACATAACAGAAACAAGGGAACAGTTCAGTCCATTCTCTCTTTAAAGAGGTGCGATCCAGGCGATGGGCTGCCAACGAGACGCGGCGTGCTCAGAGACGAACAGTACAGGAATCCAGGAGTCCATTGCTCGATCAGAGATTCCGATCCAAACAGGAACAGAAGGATCCAGGCTTCCAGGAATCCTGCGTACAGGCTGGTTCAGATGCAGACAGACATGCACAGATGAAGACGGGCAGGCTCAGTGGTAGAGAACATAGACGAGACATGATTCCAGGAAAAATGTGAACTTTAAACTGTCTCCTCCTATGAGCCAGGCTTACAGGAATTAAAACTGACCTCCACCTTGTTCCCAGCCAAAACCCTGAAGGCTCCGTG